TATATATATAGTGCAGAAACATTTTATTTACAAATTAATTTTAAAAATGTCAACAAGGGAGGACTTGTTCATGAAAAATCTGAATATAAAATATTTTTGCAGCACCATGAGACTAAATTAAAATTTTCTGCACTCCTAAAGATTCAAAGTACACAACAAAATACATTTAAGGGCTAAAAAGGTGGATTTTTCATGATATGTCCTCTGAAGTTAAAGTGATGGCCAAAATAATAGTCATAAATGTACACTCTGATATGAGAGGAAAAACACCAGATGCTTTCATCACTCAAACCGCCTGCTGCTGCATGTTGCAAACRTCTTTCTGTGCGAAAACGCTCGTCTGTTGTTGAGTTTAGTGGGTGTCCCTGGTTTCTTGATGGTGTTTACCGATGCTGCACTGTGACTGGCATTTTTCCTCTAATCCAGCCTCTGCAGGGGCTCCCCATCCTAACCACTCATTTTATTTGCACATTGAGAAACAGTTACTTAGGCGGTGCAGTTTAGTGTTCGTGTTTAGCAGAGAAAAATAAACATTTCAGTATCACTTAGGGGGCTTTCTGCAGATGGTCTAACAATGATGGCAGCCAACCTTAGACTTTAATCTAGCCTCTTTATATGTCATGATATTTCGTCTCGTTCCTGCCGTCTTTCTTTCTCAGTTCGTATCACACACAGCCTCCATGGCTCTGCAGCGCTACACTCCTGACGTCAGCAGCCAGGGAGCCCTCGGTACTTGTGAGCGACACAAATAGATACAGGCAGATAAAAAAGCACCACTCGCCTATAAATAGCCCCTGTTCGTCTTTGCCTGGATGTGATTGAACGGGAATAGAGCTCCGCAAGAGAGTCGGAGATTGAAAATGAGAGCGGGGGAGTGGGTGATGGAGTGGGGGTGTGGGAGGGACAGCAGGACCCACAGTGCTGCACGGGGGTCCCCGGGGACCTGCTGTCTGTCGCTCACCCTGACACACTTCCCAGCTCAGATGAAGTACAGCTCTGCTCTGCTGCTTTGATATCCAATCCACATATCTGCAGCAGCTGCACACCTTTCAATCACATTGTAGAATTATTTATTTATGTTTTTTGTGAGGTAGTTTGGTGCTCGGATATCTGTGAATCGTAAGCTCTGAAACGTTTGTGTGTTGTTCTGTTAAACACGACCTCAAGATTTCTTCCTAAGTTACTGCTACGGCATACAGTTTTTATTATTTAGTTATGATGCCAGTCTCTCATGAGTTTATAGCAGACATCAGACCAACTTTATGAAGTAGTTCTTTGCCCCTGTTCATGCCTGTTTCTCACAAGCTTTTGATTATCCAGTCACAAGTGAACAGCTCTAAACACTTCTGTCCACACCAGGGTTTATATGAGACTGCATTAGGGTTGGGCAAAATTGTATTGTGTGCAATTAATCGTCAGTAAAACTGTTCACAATCAATATTTGCCACATTGCAATTGCTGCAATTAGTCCCATGTGATTTTTTTTTTTTTGTGTGACACACTGTCACTATCAGGCGTGCATGTGGGAATAGCAGAGAATGCATGTTATTCAGTTAAAAAGATGGTAAGACCCCCAAAAATCAGTTCAGCAGAAAGTAAAAATGTAGCTGCAATAAAGATGTCTTTAATTGTTAAAAATGTAGATATAATTGTTCTAAATATTAAGGTGCTTCTTTTTTATGTTTCATGATAAACAACAAGACTTGAAGCTCTTAAACGTTTTACTTGGTGTTTTTCATTTTGCCTCTACTCATGTAAGGTCTGTCTATCAGTGCAGTCACATCTCCCAGACTACTTAACATTACAGCAAACATTAAACCAAACAGGCACCTGGTAACAAAACAATTGATGCATTAAAGCCAGTAACAACCCTGATCCTTTTCCAACAAGGAAAGTGTCACTGATGTCGTTGTGCTTGTTAAGCTTATCAAGTCTAAATTCAAACTGTATTGTAGTGTGAGATAAAAGCTCTTTCTTTAGAAACAGTGTTGATAATAATTTGCCAAAAAAAGATAACACAAGCCATTGTTTCCTTTTTTAGTCATCTATTGTATGCTTGTCACAGATGAAACATAATAATACTTAGGCTTAGAATTTGCAGAGTAAAGACTTTATTGTTCTTTGGTGTCTGTGCTGAAGTTGCTCAGAGTTAAACTTACTCCTCTTAGTGTTTTTCTATAGTTGCTGATCATCTGATTTTATATGCATTTTGTTACGCTTACAAAAAGTGTGAGAAAAAAATAAGTGCTTCATTGTGTTCCTTTAGTGCTGATCACAGATATATTTAGGGAGGAGTTCTGATTTGAGACTTTGAGTTTGTGAATCTGCACAGTTGACTAGGAAAAACCAGACTCTTCTCAGTTCAGTTATCCATAGCTACTTACACAGCCAACGGCAATGTGCATAAGCAAATGTATCCTAACAACGGGTTAGCCTTCTTGTACACACACAGTGCTGTTAAGAAGTTTTCAGTATTCTCATATCTGGATTTTTAAGCTACCGGTAGTTCTATTATTTTTGCTTCTTTCCCCTTGTCCCCATTTGTACAGATTTGAATCCTGTGTCCTAGTTTGTCTATACTTTGTAATTGATTTATACTTAATTGACTTTTTATCAGTGTCCTTGTACCTCCTGTGTGTGTGTGTGTGTGCGTGCGTGCGTGCGTGCGTGCGTGCATGTGTTAGTAAGAAAGCAGGTGTTTAAATCTATATAAAGACTGTGCCTTTGTGTTCACACTGAGTGAAGGGCCGTGTTTTAATCCTCAGGAAAACACAGGAGACTGCATGAAAATGCACCTTCTACCCTTAGATGAGCTGATGTCTATCTGACAGGTTGTATTGCTGCTGGTTAGAATATCAATGAGCTGCAAATACTGCGTCTGTGTGTGCTGTAATCAAACCTGCTGAGGAGGTCCAATTTGCATTCTGCAGGATCAGAAATGCCTAGGTAAATCCATTAAATGGTTCACGTTGACACGTGAGCACATGACAGTTGTTTGCTAAGGGGCTTGTCAGGTCCTGCTCTTGTCTTGGTTGTTTAAAGGTACTGTAAATGTTTTTTGCTTTAAAGATTAGGATTGCAAGACATGCATGTACACAAATTATATTTTCATATACATACAGTATTATATACTACAATTTTTTGCACACGGGTCATGGACGTAAAGTGAATTTTACAAAGATACCCGCTGGCCTTCTACTATGCCTTGGCAAAGATTCAAAGGTATTGGCATGTCTGCAGATTAAGCACTCTCTCTGGCTCTCTTGATTAAAAGTTCTTTGGCCCAGAACCTCCTTTGCCTTCCTTCAAATTGTAGAAGTCTCCCTTATGCTTTTTCTTCTGATGAGAAAATATGAATTGGTATAAGTGTCTTAGAGAATTGGATTTAGCATTAAGAGCCCCATCTTTTAAAGTATTAACACACAATGATCCTTCTTCTGCCTTAGCATGCCCCAATAAATTTTAAACGACTTTATGCTTTTATGTTTAAAGGTCATATTAACATTACATTTCTGTCAATTTAAATCCCTTATTTTCATCTAGGTGATAGTGGACACCCCTACCAGCCCAGTCACCAGTGGCCTACCTTTGTTTTTTGTCATCACAGTAACTGCTATCAAACAGGTAAGACCCTGCCTAATGAGGCAGATTATTGCCAATAACAGAAATGTTATTGGAACTTCTATAGTCATGTCCTCATTTCTTCATAGCCTTTATTGCATTACATCCTCCCGCCCTCTCTCTATAGCACATAAAGTCCCACTGCCTTTATAATTCCCTCGCTGTGTTTTTCATATAAAGTACTTGACTAATGCTCTCTTGGGTTCTGCATTAATGTGCTCTGCTGGTGAGTTCTGATTGGGGTGAAAGATAAAATTGGCCCTAGGGGAGTGTGAGCAAATGGAGAGAGAACAAGCGAGCAAGTCTATTACAATGATACAAATTATCAAAAGCAAGTTTGTTTCTTTGACTCTGCTGTTGAAATGTCCCAGCTTTAGATGTATTGTGGTCTACTGCTGGGGCTTTGAATTGAACAATAGTGGGTGGACTTCCTTGCAAAAGTCTAAGGAAACCATAGATAACATGAGGTTTTAAAGCAAGACAAGGTTAGCTCGATATCAGTGGCTTGTCTCTGCACCATCTCCCTGATTTTATTTCTTTACATTACCCAATCAGACTTTCTCCCTCTAACGCCTTTTTCTGTAATTCCACTTTCTGGTTCAATTTCAGCCTTGGCACACATTGTACCACCTCACTCTGTTCCCTACATTTCTGCACTGTCTCCTTCATTTCCATCACTATCTCAAAGTACTTTAGAAGCTTATACTAGGTTTTGTGCTTTGTACAGCTGCTGCTCAGGCATTATTTTTTTAGCCTGACATAGTATTTTTTTTCTCTTACACTATTAAAATGCACTATTGGATAGTCATTAACAATCAGTCTGTTACAGACTCTTGTTCTGTCACACTCCTTTTTAAAAACCAAAAACATTTCATGTCATGTTTGAGCACCGGGAGACCACTCTTTCACTTAAAACTGGTGTCATGGTCACAGCTGTCAGTGGCCCTTTGGAAGTAATGCCAAAGTAAAAGTTGTCATTTTCTGTTGTACTAAGCAAATAATGCTGTCCTGATTTTGATACACTGCCATAGGGATATGAAGACTGGCTAAGGCACAAGGCCGATCGTGAAGTGAATAAGTACATGGTGACAGTGGTGGAGAATGGAGTAAAGACACCAAAGGAGAGTGAGAAAATCAAGGTAACTTCTGGCACACACATCCTAACTTGGATCCATTACAGTAAAAATAAAAAAGTAAGGATCGGAGAAGAGATGCTGCCTGCTTGGTATGTATGCATAAAAAAAACGTTGCTCTGTCTACTGTTCCAATTAGGTGTTAAACATGGGTGATAAACTCATACAGCTCAAGCGATTTTGCCGTTTACTTTTTGAATGTCATTCATTCTCTTTAACATCTTGAAAGAAAATCAAATGCAGAGTGTAAAACTGTTGAACTAAAATAGAGACATATCATAAAAATTAGTTATTTTCTCTAAAATAAAATGTCTGAATATATTCTCAGAGGGTGTTGTAAATGGGCTAAAGGTAAACTAAACCTTCAACATGCAATAGATTTTTAATTGGTAATTGGCAAACTACAAGCTAAGTGAATATTAACCACCATTAAGATCGCACACACACACACACACACACACACACACACACACACACACACACACACACACACAGGTTCCACAGTTTGACAGGAAATTATTTATTTGACTGACCTATGCCTTGTAGGTGCTCAATTTGTTTTACAGTTAAGATTGTTAAATCTTGTTGCTTATCTTAAAGTATGGGAGAAAGCAAACCAAGCTTTCACCATTTTATGTATTTAATTTTATTTTTTAGGTTGGCGATATTGTAGAAGTTAAGGAAGATGAGACCTTTCCCTGTGATTTAATACTGCTGCAGTCGAGTCGAGATGATGGCACATGTTTTGTTACCACAGCAAGTCTGGATGGAGAGTCCAACCATAAAGTAAGTAACTGCTCTCTATACTTCAGTTGTATTTTAATGAGTTTTTGGCTGGAAAGATGGAAAAAACTGTATTTACACATACAGTACCAACTTTGTATTTGTGAAAGAGTACAACTCTCTTAAAGGTTCTTGCTTGATAATAAAAATGTTACAAACTAAAACCAGAAGTTCTTTTTGATGCATTTTGATTCATTAAAAAAAAATCACAGATTGATGTGAAGGGTGTCCAATGGAGTTTATTCAGAAACTTGACAATAATACAAAAATGGAGATGAAAAGTGAGGCTATATATGAAGTTAGGTAATTTGTTAGAATTAGAAATGTAAACATAAACTAAGAAACACTTGTTTGCAAAGCTGGTCCTTGTCTTTGATGGGATTGATCCACTTAAGCACTGAATGGCCTAGCTCCAGCATATTTAAAGCAACTAATTATTGTGTCAATGAAGTGGAACACTTGGTTTCCAGCATGCAGGGCTCTTAGTTGTTCCAAGATTTTCTAAAACTAGTTTTCAGGCTCCTCTCTTCTGAAATCAACTCCCTGTTTCAGTACCAAACATCAGCTCTCTCTTTGCCTCTAAACCAAACTAAAAACTTATTTATATGACAGAGTTTATCTAAATTATTCATTATTCATTTCCACAGTCACAGTCACTGTTTTATTGAATATCCTGCATTGTTTGATTAAATGTTTTAATTATGCATTCTTATGCATTAATTTTATATATTTGCTTTTATTATATTTTTATTACCTTGAATTTTATTGCTTGTATTGGTTTTATATTGTCTAAGAATGTAGAAACTACAAATAAAAACTTTGTAATCACTTTAAGTTACTTCTGCATTTGAAGCATTCTATATAAAAAAAGTTGAGCTAAAAGATTTACTGTGTTGCTTAAAAGTGCTGATTGTTGTCTGCATTTTCCACATTTGTTTAAGCATGTCATCAGTTTCAGTCGTCTTTTTTTTTCCATTTATGTTCTGGGTGAAAAGCAGAAGAGGAAGTTAAAATGTCCACTAGACCTTTTGTCAGTCACAGCTCAAGTTCTCTGTATTTGCCTCTACCGCTCTTTCAGACACACTACACAGTGCCAGACATCGAAAGGGATCTGGAATCTCTCAGCGCCACCATCGAGTGTGAACAGCCACAGCCTGACCTTTACAAGTAAGGCAATCAACATGTGGGTGCAACAGGTTTGCACCACAAGCACATGTTGCATGTTTGTTGGACTGACACAATTTCAGTGGAGAATCTTGTCATGGGTCGTGTTGGCGATTTGCATCATGTGTAATAATATGGATTTTTGAGTCAGTGGTGGGGCTGCACGATATTAGGAAAACCTGCGATGATAACAGTGCTTAATATTGCAATGATGACATGACTTGTGATAAATGAACAAATACTAAAGTATATAGTGTTGATGTAGTTCTGCTCTGGGTTCAGAGCAAAACAAACCCCAACAACTAATGCATTTCAATTCCAACATGACAGTTTTATAAGAAAGTCAACTATACTGTACACAGCTGCTGTATAAGCAGTGAAATGACAAACTGCATGCAATACGGTTTTGTTAATGACTTTACAACATTGGCCACACAAAATATTTTCTGATGCTCTAAATACTGAAAAAGGTTCCTTACTATCAGGTTTGTTAAAAAGAAATTAGAAAAAAAAATCTCCAAATAAGAGGTTCTGTTTTTTTTAACCACAAGTTCTTTGTTGCAAGTTTCTTCCCTTATCTTGCTCTCAGTCATTGCGACTCTCACAAAGCTCACTCGGTTGTTTGTTATCCACTCGCGTCTTCATAGGGGGCGAACATCTAATGTAAAGAGGTCCATCCGATTGGCAAAATATGTGAGGAGCTCAGTTTGATTGATCTAACACGTAGTTTCCGTGTGATTGACAAAAAGCATAAATGCAACCATTTATTGCAGTTTTTGGTGAAATGCCTATTGCACAGGCGGTTATGGCAATGACGATAAATTTTTGATATATTGCTCAACCCTAGTTAGTGGGTTATTTTTAGTTTTGTATTGTTTTTGAACTCAGCAGATCATGATTTCTTAAATTCAAATCTGCTCTCGTGCAAGACTGAATAGTAAACAAATAATTTGTAAAACTGATATTACATGAGGCTGTATTTTTAAAGTGTGTGTGTGTGTGTGTTTATGTTCCAGGTTTAATGGTCGTATGTACATTTACAAAAACGATCAGGAGTCCACAGTGAGGTGAGAGCTCTCATGCGCAGCCATCCCAGCCCACTTTAAATGAGAGCAACATCAAAACACAGTTACTTAAGCGCTCATTTGTTTCCTTTTGCATCTCCARCAAATCACTAAACTATTGATCTTTCATTGCAGACAAGCATAAAAAAATCAGGCTGGCAAAGATTTAGCCTTTGCTTCCAAAGCACTCCCACTGGCATTTATCATTGACTACTTTGTAATGACAGTATAAACAAATGACCAGTGTCCTTCTCAAGAACACAAGGGGACGTAAGGCTGGACTGTATCCACACTGTCACTGTATATGTTAGAGTAGATGCCAGACTGCCTGCCAGGTTCCCATTTAGAGAGTAGAGGGGTGTGTGGATTGTACAACTCCTGTATAACTACACATATTTTGATCTATTGATGTGATTGTGCAGGTCTTTAGGCCCAGAAAACCTGCTGCTGAAAGGAGCAACTTTAAAGAACACTCAGACGATATGTGGTGAGTCAAAGGATAATGCCATAATTTACTGAAAATGGTTTACTGTGAAAAAAAAAAGCTGATACTGTGTTTTGTTACGTTTGTACCTGAAGGTGTTGCAGTTTACACTGGCATGGAAACAAAAATGGCTCTCAACTATCAGGGCAAATCTCAAAAGCGATCTGTTGTAGAGAAGTACGTTTCACACAAAAGTTACAGGCAAGTTAAAAAGTATGTGTTGTAGTTTTTGTAGTCCTTACTTTGACTCCTTTTATTTTCAGGTCTATCAATGCCTTTCTTCTAGTTTACCTTTGTATACTGGTGAGCAAGGCGCTTGTGTGCACAACACTTAAATATGTTTGGCAGAACAAACCTGGGCAGGATGAGCCGTGGTACAACGAGAAAACCCAGAAGGAGAAAGAGACAAATCTGGTAAGCTTCTATTTAGGTTMAAATATTGTAATAATGCATGTCTAAAGCAAGACTAGAATAAATGCCACCTAGTGAAAAGTAGCACAAAGCATTTCAGTATACTGTCATCTTATGTATTAATTTCCGTTAAGGATCCAAAAATCTGAAGAGACCCGATTTATATAATTTTAGCTCTGTAGACTAAAACATTACAAAATAAACAGTGGAACTTAATAATTTATTGGAGTACAAATTCCCTTGGATCAAATAAAACAAAACAAATTAGTTTAAATTCAGATATTTATTTCTTGGTACTTTAAGAATATTTAGCTGTTAATACTGTTTTCATTTACGGTTTTCTTGGACTTTATCTTTGTTTGGAGCAAATGCAGCAGGATGTGGAGTTTGGCAGATTTGGCATCTCTCCAAACAGAAATGATCTGAGTTCTGGCCCGTAATAGAATAATATCAGTTATCTAGCATCAACGGAAGCCATGGAGCACAGAGCCTGCTCTATTAGATCATCTTCATGAGCCGGTCCAAGCTTCTCTTCTCTTCTTGTCTGTCGTTCATGTAGATCTGGTCCTAACCGAAGAAAACATGTTTATAGTTGGCCCAGCTTTTTAAAATTCTGAATTTCTACATGATTTGAGCCATTTTTGTGAACTATTTGTATTGTAAAGTTTTCTCTTTATGGGATAGTTTACAGCTTTTAATACATTGGTTTTGATTTTGCAGACTATGTTTGTCTGTTTTCAGTATTTGAGCACCCTCAGACTGGAGCTTAAAACCTTTGAAATATTTGGCAGCTTTTCTTTAACYGTTTTCTTTTTCTCCCCCTTTTCTTTTCTCAACAGTACTTAAAAATGTTCACAGACTTCCTGTCCTTCATGGTCCTCTTCAACTTCATCATTCCAGTGTCCATGTATGTCACAGTTGAGATGCAGAAGTTTTTAGGATCCTTTTTCATCACGTGGGACAAAGATTTTTTTGACCCTGAAATTAAGGAGGGCGCACTGGTCAACACGTCGGACCTGAACGAAGAGTTGGGACAGGTCAGGACTTAGAAAGTTTAAAAACAGAAACTAACTTTTATGAAGTGAGTTAAATGCTACTGCTGTTTGCCCTTAATTTATGTTGAGTTATTGTTCTGTTGTACTGCTAGCTTATGYAATGCCACTTTAGAATTGTTACACTTAGTTTAGCAGGTGATYACTTTTAAGTTTATGCCCCATTAAACTGATAAAAGCGAAGTAATTTTCTTGGAATGAATTACCTATTAGTGTTGTTAGAACCTTTTACATGGGAATCAGGATTTTTATGATCTGAGAAAACACTGTGCGTTTTTTTTTCTTGTTTCCCCAATTAAATTTCCTGCAGGTGGAGTATGTCTTCACAGACAAGACCGGCACACTCACCCAGAATAACATGGAGTTCATCGAGTGCTGTATCGACGGCTTCCAATACAAACATCGGGGCGCCTGCTCCGAGTTGGATGGGTTTTGTGTCACAGATGGACCAGTGARCAAACTGCAGCAGAAAGCTGGCAGGGTGGGTGTTGTGTTGTCCCACCATCTGTTGTGAAGTCACACAAGCGTTAACATATGGCCATTACATAGCTCATTGCTTGGAAAGACCCATCATATGTGACCCATGTGTAGTCTCCTGGACATGGTAACATATGCAGTTAACAGAAACACCACATATGACTTTGCAGTTACACTCCAGTACTCGTGAAACCTGTTAACCTCGAACACTATTTAATGTTTTAAGCCATGTTTGCGTTTTTCAGGAGAGGGAGGAGCTGTTTCTGCGAGCCCTGTGTCTCTGCCACACTGTCCAGGTGAAGGAGTCTACAGAGCAGGCTGAAATCCTACGGGAAGATCAAACAGATCAGGTGGATGGTTTGAGCTTAGATGAAGAGGCGCTCCAATCACCACAAGAAGAGAGGGGCTTCATAGCTTCTTCGCCTGATGAGATCGCACTGGTCAAGGGTGCCATGAGGTAAGATAAGCTGGTAATCTCATAAAATGAAATATTATTATAATAGCACACATTTTGAAGTCCTATTTTGTGGGTTAATCATTCTTTTTTTAAAACATTTTACTAAGCATAAGAATTTGTAAATTGCACATTTTCAGTGATTTGTCTCCATCTGTAGGTATGGCTTCACATTTCTGGGTCTTGAAAGCAAAACCATGAAAATTCTAAACAGAAATAAAGATGTTGAAACGTAAGTCTGCAAACAAAACAACCGAAACATTTTGATTGTGACCATAATTTTGTTAGTTAAATTAGCATTTATTTATTTTTATTATTTGATCATTTTATTTCTCCYAAAGGTACGAACTGCTTCATGTGTTGAACTTTGACCCAGTGAGGAGGCGAATGAGTGTGATCGTCAGATCCAAATCAGGTGAGCTTGATTCAAGGGTCTAGTTTATTGCACTTTTTACTTGTTCTTTGCTTTTACGAGGCTGTTTTCTTCATCATTGTGTCTTTTTATGTCCAGGTGAAGCGTGGCTTTTCTGTAAGGGTGCAGACTCTTCCATCTTTCCTCGAGTCAAACAGGAGGAGGTGGAAAGGATCAGAATGCATGTAGAACGCAACGCAACAGTGGGTGCAATTAATCTGACATTCTCACTATCCAATCAGCTCTGCAGGATAATTTAGTATTTTCTTGTTAAAACTGTTCTTATTTCCATGTTCAGGAGGGTTATAGGACCCTGTGTGTGGCCTACAAACAACTTAGTGCAGATGAGTATGCCGAGGCAGACGCAGCGTTGGGAGAAGCTAAATTGGCTCTGCAGGACAGAGAGGAGAAGCTTATGGCCATTTACAACCAAGTGGAGACAGGAATGAGTCTAATAGGAGCTACTGCMGTGGAAGATCGGTGGGTGCTGAATCAACATGCTGAAATTATACTACTTAACCGTGTTAAGCATCAGATTTTAATGTATTTAATGATTTTATATACATTGTAAATTAAAAGTTGTCAGATCTTTGCAGATGCCCACAATGTAAATAGAAGTTTGAATTACTGAAGTGGTTTCCTGAAGTGTCCAAATGCTTTTTGGTTGTGTTGCAATTTAAAATTCCTTCTGCTGTTTTTCTTTAGTTTTTTCAGATGTTCTATGCTTAGAGTTCTTTGAAATATTTATTTTGTCTTATTTTGAGTAGCTTGATACCAAGCAAACTCTCTTTTCAGAGCTTTTTTAAGCATAAGTTCACACTGCCACCTAGTGGTTGTATTTATTTATTCGTGATTCCAGTTACGCTTTACACCTATTGGGGTGTGATCCTTTTCACTTCTTGTTTATTATTATTATTATATTAAAGCCTTCAAGAGGAAGCAGCGGAGACCATGGAAGCTCTGCAGGGAGCAGGTATGAAGGTTTGGGTCCTAACAGGGGACAAGATGGAGACGGCAAAGTCCACCTGCTACGCTTGTGGATTGTTCCAGAGGAGAACAGAGCTGCTGGAGCTAACTGTGCGCACGCTAGAGGATCGAGGGAGGAAACGTGAAGACCGCCTGCATGAGCTTTTATCAGAGTATCATAAGAAAGCTGTTATAGATGTGCCACCAGTGAAGGCAGGTGGCAGCAGGTCAGTAGTTACCTGTGTGCTAAGATCATTTCTTTTAGTGAATTTTAAAGTTTTGCTCCTAGTTAGGCCAATCTGAATCTCTGTGTGCCTTAAGCTCTGAGTCTTTTTCTTCTTCTGGGTTTTAGGGGTCGTTTTGTGGCCAGCCAGGACTTTGGGTTTATCATCGATGGACCTTCTTTATCCATAGTGCTCAGCTCATCCTCTGATTCCAACACAGTTTGCTACAAAAGTCTGTTCCTGAGCATTTGTCAGAACTGCACAGCTGTGCTCTGCTGCCGCATGGCTCCGCTGCAAAAGGCACAGGTCCGAATCAGTTTAAATGTGTTTCTTTGTTGTTAAAACATTCACCTTTACAGTGAACACCTGGTTACATGTGTTTTTTACTCCCCATTTAGATTGTTAAAATGGTGAAAACTTGTAAAGGCAACCCAATCACACTTTCCATTGGAGACGGAGCTAATGATGTCAGTATGATTTTGGAAGCTCATGTTGGCATTGGTAAGAATGAACTTGTTGCTTCAAATACAGATAATTGTAACCTTCTGTTTGAAGGTATTGTGACTTATTTTTTAAATTGTTCTTATGTTTCAGGCATCAAAGGTAAGGAGGGTCGACAGGCAGTGAGAAACAGTGATTATGCTATCCCCAAACTCAAGCATCTCAAGAAACTTTTGTTGGCTCATGGGCATCTTTACTATGTTCGCATCGCACATCTGGTGCAATATTTTTTTTACAAGGTAAGAGCAAAACATGCTTACTTTTTCATGGCTTTGAATTTGTTAGATTGTCAGCAGAACTAAGTTTCTAATCAAGGATTACATTTCTTTATTTTATATTAATACTGGTCATATTTAATATTTTTTCTGCATTTTCCCACAGAATCTTTGCTTCATCCTACCCCAGTTTTTGTACCAGTTCTTCTGTGGCTACTCCCAACAGGTGAGTATGTCCTAAATCACAATAGTGTTTRGAAATGTTCCGAGCATTCAAAGAAGTAGTGTGCCTTTAGTACATAGCCCATAATCCTCCAGAATACCACCATGTTTCCCTTCAAATTGCCCTTCCCTCACTGGTCCTGGGATGTTTGAGCTCTGCTRAAATGAGACATACCTGTCAGGTTCTGCCACCATAATTTGATGCACATGAATATGATATCTTGGTTGCATATGCATGTTTTAAATCTGATAATAAGAGAACGACTGAGCAATAAATAACAAAAGTAGGCATTATTTTTTGCACAATAGATACAGTTTTATGCATACAATCTATTTTTACGTTACCGTTATGAATTTCAGATCMCATTTTGAAATCTTCTCTGTCACCTGACATCTTTCATACGTTCATAAAAGATGTGAACAATGTTTTGTGTGTTGACGTTTTGCTGGTGTGCGTGAGTTTATTCCTCTCATGATAATAATCCCTGGTTGCCCCATCCCWCCTCCTTCCTCCCCATCCCGTGCCTTCAATTCCTCCTCCTGCTGCCCTCCCTCTCAGCCCCTGTACGATGCAGCCTATCTGACGATGTACAACATCTGCTTCACCTCTATGCCCATCCTGGCTTACAGCCTCCTCGAGCAGCACATTTGCATCGAGTTTCTCCTTAAAAACGCCGCTCTGTACAGGTAATTTATTTGATTTCCACCGTCTGAAGCTTTTAAATGTTCTCAACGTGTTTGCTGTAATAGACGTTAGATGTTACCTTTTTGTTTTAAAATTAGAAATTTTGTTTATAAGGACTCAATTTGCTGAATATTGTCTAAGGTTTTAGGATAGAATAACTAGTAAAATGTTTGCAAAGTGCACCAAAAAGCTTCCATAGTTGCTAAATGTATTAATATTGCTAAAAGGAAATTTTCATCCTGACAATAATCCACAGTTTAAACTGGAAAAGCCTAAGAATTCGCACCTTAAATGCAACATTTAAGAGTTTTTGCTGAAATGTTACTCTTTTGATTAAAAACATTATCAAGAATTAAACATAAAATACTTTTGAATTACCYTTTTTTTTAGTGAGGTTGCAAAAAATGCCATGTTACGGTGGGACCTTTTCCTCTACTGGACCCTGCTCGGAGTCTTCCATGGCTTAGTGTTCTTCTTTGGGGTTCGATTTCTGTTCAGTAACCCAGCCTTGCAGGACAATGGCCAGGTTTGATTTTACTCATCTTTATGAATGGATGGAAGATGTCATATGTCCACACATGGCCTCTTACGTTGTCTAATTTTTATTTAATTTTTTTTTGAATCCAGGTTTTTGGGAACTGGTCGTATGGAACAATTGTATTTACTGTTCTAGTCTTCACTGTAACTCTAAAAGTGAGTCGTGTACAAAGCTGTAGTTTTCACACAAACAGAAGACTTTTATGTCAACAACCCAAAAACACAAAGCTTGAACCGCTTTGCTCCACTTGTTGCAGCTGGCTCTGGACACACGACACTGGACGTGGATCAACCACTTTGTGATCTGGGGTTCTTTGGCCTTCTACGTGTTTTTCAGCTTCTTCTGGGGAGGAATAATATGGTTAGAAAATACATTAGGTTGAAATATCCAAAATATTTGTTGTAGTTGACCATCTTTTAAAGTGTTTMCTAAGGTGTCACTTCTTCTGCAGGCCTTTCCTGAAGCACCAGCGTTTGTACTTTGTCTTTGCCAACATGCTGAGCTCAGTATCAGCATGGCTCGTTATCATCCTGCTCATACTGCTCAGCCTACTGCCAGAGATCCTGTTCGTGGTGCTCCGCAAGCCCCGGGGACCCTACGCTCGAAAGGTACATCAGAAACGCATAAACACAAATAATAACACACTGGTCTTTATGACTAATATGTAATCCATACATGATCCTTCCATGCTGTAAAAGTAACCATCTATTTCCACAGCACTCTGTTGTTGCTGGTTGAAGTTGAGTCATTTTGACTGGACAGATTTATGGATCTCTACAGACTTGTGTTGATCGTAAAATGACATCATTTAATATCATTTAATTAATCACCTGGGCCCAAAATTGTATTTTATTATATTAACAATTAAAGATCAAATATATTTTTACATTTAAAAAAGTAAAGAGAGGAAAAAAGGTAGAGCTGTAATCAGAATATCTTTTTGTTTAGCATGAGATAATAGAGTTCTTAAACAGAGTCAGAATTGATGTTTTATGTGTTTTTATTGTCTTTTAGAAAATGTCCTTGAACAAAGAAATCACACAGAAGCTTAATTGTAATTTTGTAACTTTCATTTGTTCCCAGTAGTTTTGAGTTGTWGCTGAATGTGTTTGTGTATATTCAGCTGTGTGTTTACGGATTTTAATTGTGTTAAGTGAAAAGCAAGGTAGCAGATTTTTACCACACAGGACWGCAGCTGAAAACATCAAGTACAAAAATCTTTGTCCTTTTCTATTATTTGTGTTTGGCGGAAATCATCAAGCTCAAAACTTGCTGATTAAATGTTATTTTATAAAATGATGTTTCATCTGAGTAGTTTACTGTGATTTTCAAGTACTTGCTTCTTTTGTTAAAAAATCTAAATATGTTTTGATCTTTTCTAACTTGTTTTCCTGACTTCCAGTGTTACACCTTGACACATTCTTATCTCTTTCACCCTCTCGTTTTTTTCCCTCCTCCTTTTTGAYTGTCCTCCCTAAAGATGAAGCATCGCCTTCCGTCCTCGGGGACATCTACTATCTTCATGTTGTCACAGACCACTAGCACTCACAGCTTCTCGTGGAGTGACTGAGGTCTCCTTTTCTCTCTCGTTGATTTCACGTTCRACTCACTTCCTGAGGAAATTCTGTTTGCTTGGAAACTTGCTTGTTTCCTACTCGTTGTGTCCTTCCTCTCCCACTCTCATCCTCCTTCCTCACTCTGCAAATTAATTAGGGCTGGAGTTCTGAGTTCAGYGCTCAGAAGTCTACAGTTTTAACCCTTGACACTGTGATTTGTTTTATTGAAATGGGAGGAATGGCACGTGCCAAGCTCTGCCTGCAGTGTGGATGAAGACAGGGTGTCTGTGCTGAGAGTGCAGTCTGTCCTCTTGTCCTTGTCTAGTCCATGTCTCCCTCCAGCTGCCTGTGTTGCTCCAATGCCTGCTGCCTCCGCATGTCCAGTCAGGCGACTGCAGCACATCAAAGCATCCAACTTAACAGCATGAGGCTCAAGTCCACAACCTCATCCTGGAACCCGCCTCTGCAGGCTTCTGCGTTTGTTTCTGTTTGTGTGTTTTATCTGGAGACATCTTTGGTTAAAAACAAAACAAAACAAAACAGATCCATCTCTGTGGACCAGTTATTTAAAAGTGTTATTTCTTTAAAAAAGGTTCCCAGAACCTATTTTTCATTTTCCACCAGTCCACTGTTACAGTGCTTCTGTGTGTTTATGTTTGTCTCTGTGTCTGTGAGCAAGAGCCAGCACTGTACTGGAGAAGAAGTGTGTTTATGGGTGTAGTGAAGTCAATGGTGTCTTTTGCCTCACCTTTCTAGAAGAAGATGGTTCAGTCCAGTGCAGGGGGCCTTCAGCCTCCCCAGTCTCCAGTCAGGCCCCTGCTCATGAGAACCTTTTCAGACGAGTCCAATACTGTGATTTAAACAGGTACTACCGTACTTTCAGGCCAATCAGTGACTCGCCTCCCCCTCAGTAAACCTGTCCACCAAATCTTGTTGCTAACCCTGAGTTTTAACATGAAAATCAAAGGCACATTGGCCTTAACAGCATTTTCAAAGAGGCAAAATGTGTTGAAGTTGATATAGGCTGAAGAGATGTGCTTTTTCCATGTTCCTCATTTTGTATCAACACATTGAAATGAAAAGGTCCAATGTTGCATTTATTTAACACATGAATGCATCCCAAGGCCTGAAGATTTTCTTTAAACACGTGCCTTTCAGCTTCCCTTTGCCTGCCAGGCTTATATCACCTTTTGCATGAGCTTCTGACACCTTTTGTTGTTGTTTTTATTTTGGGTCAGTTGTTTTCTAGTTGTGGCTGAGTGTGAAGTGCTAACGTGTGGCGGTGTCAGAGGTGGTCCGAGATTACTGCTTCTCCATTTTCTGACATTTTGCCGTTTGTGATGTTGTGGTTAGATTATCTGTTTATTTCATTTTAATATTTTCCAAGTGTGTTTCAGTTGTCTGCTTTCTTTCATGGCAAATAATGGATGTAAGTTGGAGTGCTGTGCTCGAGCTTTGTGCATGATCTGATGCTGATGTAGTCTCTGCTTGAATGCTGCTGTGTTACAGGGGGCAGAGAAGAAAATTTGAAACAGAAAATAAATAAATAAATTTAAAAAATTGACCTAAGTAATGAAAAATCTAAATATTAAATCATTCTCACACCATGTGTTGCAAGGACACATGAAATGTAAATGAAGCACATACTGTATTAATGTTGTCAGGTTTTTATCTGCCCCCTGGAGGAATGCTACAGAGACTGGTCTCACCTTACCCTCACTCCTCACCAGTGTCACTGGACGTCTAATTGTAACGTCTAAGAGCTTTTTGCAGCACTTTTCACTTTTAACCTGGATTTTCATTTTTCCTTTAGCTGTCAGAGGATGAACTCCTACAAGCACCCAGGTAAACCTCGAAGATAAAACCCTGACTCTGTGTTTCAAGTCTGTCTGCTGGCCGTCGACAAATCAGTTGGCCTGATTTTAAAAAATGGGATAATTTCCTTTTACTAACGGATTGTGGAGGGGAACCTGTCATTGTGGCTTTTATATGTAGTGTTATGTGGCTAATCACTGCTGTTGCTCTGATAATTTAAGATGATTTCAGGACGTCCTTTTCCTCCTCCTTTCCAATTCTGTAACGACATAAATTAAAGTCTTTGCACTTGTGTTGTTTCCAGATTGCAGCCGTCACACCCCTTTCCTATAAGCACCTGAAGGAGCTCCAGTGAAAGGCTGCCAGGACTCGCCGCTGGACTTTGCCTCATTCAGGTTTTTGTTTGGGTTTAAGGAGGTGACGAAGAGGGAGGAGATCTGAATATGGAGACCTTGAGAAGATGAAGAAACTTTTTTTTCAAACTGTTACTTTTCCATCTTTTTCTGCCCAACGCATGTCTGCAGAACAGTGCCCTGCGTTATTTTAGAAAATATCAACCCGTGATGGACATGAGTTTTTTTCCTTTCACTTCTTCTTATTTCTTTTTATTAGCTTACAAATACGCATACATGGCTGCCTTGTCCCTGGCTCTTTCCAAATACTTTGTTTCAACAAGCAGTTGTAAATCCACTCAAAGAATGGTACATCTGCATGACAAAAAGACTCAGAACACCTCACCTGTTTTCAGTCACTTATTTTTTCTGCAAACCTTTTTTATATTTAAATATTTTTTTCTTTTAAATCTTTTTTTAATCTACAAATCTGAACCATTCCAGATGAATTATGTTACTGAATGCAATTTCAGTCCAGCTGAAAGCTACACACAGACTGTTAATAGTTTGCTGGTGTTTATGGGATTCTATCTTTTTGTTGATAAAACTGATATCTGTATTGAAGATAAGAGTTTATTAGAGGCCGTGTTACCACTGAATCCAAAAAGCGTGTTTGTGCGTAAGACTGAGTGATTAAAGACCTCAATATTTAACTTTTGGCAATAAAATTCCGATTGTAATTAATTCTTTCAACCTCAGAGATAATTTAAGACATAGGAAAATTAATATATGTGCGCAGTAATGTTTATAGCTTATATTAGCGTCTGCTCAAAGCCAAAAAGATGAATGCAGTGCAATCAGATTGTGTCCACACAAATGTGACCTTAAAATGAAAGGCCTGTGTGTATGTGTGTGTTACATAGATGTGTTTGGATGAGAATAGTCACAAACGTCTGTGTGTAAAGAAAACCAAATGTACTTGAACTTTGTTGATTCGGGTCAGTTAGACATTTTCTGCACTATTAGGGTAACTGGTTCCTTTGTTACAGTTATGATCACTAAGGCACAGTATATATGCCTGAACACACACACCTAATAGCTAGACAGGACGTGGATACACAACCAGTTACCCATATGCATCATACACATCAATGCACACAAAAAGTCTAAAGAAAGATGTTTAGATTCACTGTCAATTATGTGTCTTCTTAGACCAAATCAGTGTAAAATAACTCCAAATTTACAGAATCAGTAACGTAAAAAGCCACTGTGAGATTCTGCTTCCCTGTTTCTGGTCTAAACAGCTGTTCCAGCAGGTTGATCACATTGTTGTTCACTTTTCTGTTCTTCAACGTTTTTTTACGTGTAGTGCTTTAAACATTCCATTTAAACCTGATTTCGGACACTTTGATACTTTTTTGTAACGTTATTTTCTTCCACACATCAGCTCGCCATATTTATTGTTAAGTGTATTTTACTCACAAGTGTTTATATTT